CTGTGCACGTGAAAAAGAAAAAGGTATACATGGACCTGGATATGTGGTGTATATATATTTTAGGTACACGTATGTACAGATACGGTAGACTTTGCTGAAGATCATGTGTCATGTAACGTTAAACCGGGTGGACGTGTATATATATATATATACGTGTGTATATATATATTTATATGCGAGTGTGTTTAGTAGCATAGGCTTAGGTAGCTAATGGAACAGGAGGCTTTCGTGGAGCATTAATCCTGCCTGCTGGGAGAAATTGGAGGATTAAATAATAACTATAATACGAGGTTGGAGTAACTAGATAGATGTATATTTTATAGGTGGTTTAAAACAATTTTTTTTTCTTTTTCGTGCAAATTTCATGGTATTAATAGTTTATGCGAATTTCACTTTCTGGACTTGAGATAGATGCGATTTATAAATACGGTTTTTGGACTGTTGCGTGTATATAGATATATGGCGTGTACGATTTTTTTTCTGACTTTTTAAAAGCCTGGTTTATCTCTCGAGAGCAGATGTTTATGTTACGCGTGACTCTGCGAACTTTTTCGGAATCGCATGAGATCGCGTATGCCCACGTGTAGATATGCGGTTACGTAGGGGGAATAAAATTTGTACGGTTTTTGAAATGCGTAGGCGAGGCGGCGTTTTGTAATTTTGGATAAAAGTTTGTTTATTGGCTGTTGGTAGAATTGAATGTGCTTCTGTGAATTGGGATGTAAAATTTTTTTTAGTTTTTGAAATCTTTTTTTCCATGTTCGCGGTGACTGTTTGCTAGGAAATTTTGGAATTGTCGACTTCGTAATTTGGAATAAATGCTGGGTACTCGTGCGATGTACTATACCTAATAACAAAGCGCATTGTGCAAGCTGCAATTTGCCTGGCTCGAAAGAGCCATGCAGGTTGCAAATTTTTGCCTAAAATCGCCGGCGGGATGAATGGGAAATTAAAAAAAATATTCCGTATTATTTTTCATGCACTCGGTCGTAGGTATAGCTAATTTAGGTAGGATTGCATGCGAAATTGATACAGTCGGTAGAAAAATTTTGCAAGATCTGTCTGTCAGCTGAGACTGGAGTATCTGAAGATAAGATATAAGTAATTTTTCGAGATAAATATCTCAAAATGAGATACTCGTTAAATTTGAGTTCGAGGTAAATATCTGAAATGAGATATTTAACCAGTAGCTTGGTCCATGAGGATGCTGCGCGGTATATAAATTATTATGAAATATTGAAAAGTTCAAATTTGAATAATTTTTCGTTTACTTACTCGTAACACTTTTTTTTTTTTCCTAAATAAACCCTCAGCCCGAGTGTTTATAAGGATCAGTCGGGCTTATGCAAAACCTGGCAATTTTTTTTCTGATACGGAAGCAAATTTGAACATCTGGATTTTCCAATTTAAAATTCGCAAACACTTCCAAGCACTTTAAGTCTCTCGCAAATTCTTCAAGAACTTTGACGCTCTTGAAAGCTGAAGGACTTTAAGGATATGCGAAATCCTCCCTAACAAAATTCACCGAAACGATCTTCGCGACCTTTTACAACCCCTATACTCAGTCAAGGAGGAGTGGGTCGTTCCGGATGGACCTATATCTTGAAATCTTTCAGAGACGTCCTGCAGGGACGCAGACGGGTGGCGAAACAACATGGTCCAGACAGTCGAGTAGAATGAAGAGGGTAAATTGACAGACATCTCCTGGACCCCTTATCCCACAGGATGATCCACGTCATTCGTTCAGTCCCATTCCCATAAAATCACTCATCCAGCATCTCGATCCAGCACATCAAAGGATTCCTCAATCAAGACAACGTCAGACCGAATTAATCTCATTTCGAAATGATCAACCCTAACGTAATTACCCGAAACAAAGAAAAATTTTATTATAAACATACAGCCCAATCATTTCAAAAAATAATAACGAATAATTAAAAATCCAAGATCCGTTAAAATAATGCCAAGCTGCATGCCCTACCAAAGATCTATTACCAGACTCCAATTAGGTCCAGGATCTCGTATCATCAATTTTTCCTTATCCCACCCCCATACAAATTCCATAACGAAGATCAGATCAAAATCAAAGGAAGTTGCATACACTGCATTAACTCAACAGCCTCCATTACGACCTGGACCTTGCTCAATCCTCACGGGAATACCCGGTTGGCTTTTTTCTGGTCCATACCGCATCCTCAGCCTCCATCTACTTTCAGGTCCTACCGGTAGTACGTAGTCAGCTCGTTGCAACCTAAGTAGAACATAAGGTACTTATCCCCACTGAAATGGGTACTGGGACGCATGGGGAAGCCAACCGCGAGAACGTTATCGGCTCTTGGCCGGGAAAGCCATCCCTTCGTCATAGTCCTTTATAGAAATTTGCCATGCAGATTTATAAACGTGTGAGCAATATTAATTTAGTATACATATATATATATACATGCATAGCAGTAATTATTTACTATGCCAAACTTATCCGAGAGTCACTTTGATCGTTATTCCCAGTATACAGTGATTACTTCAGTGACACGTGGCTACGTCGCTGGTTTTAAAGCGGCAGTCACACCGAATATAGAGAGTTTATGTATATGTATATGTATAACCGTCTGGCTGTGAAAAGATTCTTTCACAAGCTGTAATAGGTTGGTCTGTTATCATCTACCTAGATACACCTCTCAAATCTTCCCAAAATTAATTGTACCCGTTCTAACCTCCTATATCTTGAAAATCCGCCTTCACCTCGGCAGTTCGGAGTTGATTGCTTCAGAACCGCCACCTTTGAATCAATCTGCCAGTCCAATCAATTTCCAATCGGGGCGCTGCGGGTTCGCTCGTCGGCACGGAACCGTTGATCCTCTTCTTTGTACTTGTATCTTGCTCCAAGTAGGGAACGGAAACCAGAGGAACGCGGTGTAGAAACAATGTTAACAGTGGCTGTTGGTACGAAGTTGCGACCACTCCGCGAAATCGAATCAATTCCAAATGCGGATTGCTGTTTAGGATTCCTGGGTATAATGGTGGGAATTGACTGTTGAATATTTTTTTTCTTTTTTTTTTTATTGAGTCTCGATCGTTTATTGGACGGTTATATTTTTCTTTATGTCGTTTAAAATTAATACGGAAGATCTTTACCCATTGCTTACCTTTGCTTCGTGTTAAACTGGTTTTTCCTATATATATTGGCCTGATGTCATACCCCCCTGTACTTTCTCTTGCAGTCGTATCTTGGCGTTACGTTCTCTTGGAGCTGCTTGACGTATGCATAATAACTTAATGGCTTCCACCGCAAATGCGAATCCGCATACGGAAAGGAACGATATGACACGCGACCTGTCGCTTTAATAGAAACGGAGAGTCGTCCCGGTGACCGCAGACTCTAATGGCGTACGACAAACAGACCACTTACCTGTTTGGCGAGATTCGATATATCTTATACGTATTCCAGTTACTGAATGCGTTGATGAATAATACGAATACGAATACGTGCGTTAGCTTCTCCCTCGGACTGTATTTATCTGTTTATCGTCCACCTCGCACATTCGAGACCTTTTTTGTCCGGGCAAACGGAATAATTAATTGTAAAAATATGCAAAGGATCTTTTTACACCAATGAACCTTTAGTATGCTAACTTTGTTTTTAACTTTTTCAAAATGTCTGATGCTTCACGTATTTTTTTTTATTTCATCGAAAAATATATATCTATAGCCCGGTGCCACGCACTGGTACCATTAGATCGTTACGCTACTGCCAACCCAATAACTTGACGGCTCCGTATAATTGCTAGTAAGACTTCACAAGAAACAACGAAGTCTCGCAAGACGTAATATCATCGCTTCGAAAGCTGAAAAATAGGAAACCCTTAAATGAGGAAGCCATACGCGATACCGGTGAGATCTAAATTCTCGAAAGCCAAAGCCATTTTTCTGTCGAAAATATATTTACATTGAAATTGCATCAGACTCGTATTTTGAATTTTGGAACCATATCAATTTCTAACCTCTAAAAGCTCATCGCCTATGCCATTTAGCTTTCTCTGTTTCGAGAGCAATTGCACAATCGGCAAGAGCAAGGAGCGCCGAGTGATGGATCTGCTTTAGTCTCGTGAAATGCATCTAGTCTGTATAGTAGCCAGCTGCCCGAGAAAACATAGCGAGCATGTAAGAGCGTCCCGTTCGGGGCTGCGGCGTACTATTTTGAACAGTGGATTTTTAGAAATATGGGTCAGACCCTGGCATCTCGCAGTGGGTAAGGCCGTTAATACTACAGCCGTGCTTATAGAAGAGCTTACACAATATGGCTGCGCTTATTCGATATGAGGAAAATAAGACGAAGCGATCGAAACGGGTATGGACAGTCTTATGTCTCTTTGCTGTGATGCGCAGTAATCACAATATTGGTCACTGCGCATCGGTTCTTGAATGTCAATCAAAACTTTATGTTGGCACTTCCTAACTCGTCTGGGTAAATAATTTCGGTATCTATTTCAAGATACTCGGCATGAAGACTCGCGTCGATGCTCCTTTCACAAGGGCGCTATTGGGTTCGTTATTAACACATTAAAGGCGGGAGTCGTAGTACTACGATTTATCTCGACTGTAGCTTAAAGGCGGGAGTCGTATTAGTACGGTTTGCAACCACATTGCGCAATCCATGCGCCACTTTACATTTGTATTTAGTATGTTTTGTGGTTTTCAAGTCTAAATTTTTTTTATGATTACACAAAATATCGCCCGCTCTAGGACGAAAAACGAGGCGGGCCGGTCGCTGCGTTACCTTAGCATACTTTCGTCAAGATCCCCCGCCTTTAACGTGTTAAGCAACCTCAGTAGACGTACTCGGAACTGGCGGCGCTAGTGTCGCTGGTCATTTTACGAGACCGTTTAGAGCGAAATATTTCGGTTACCAGGATTTATGTGTTTGCCTATATATATTTACAGCTGGTAGTTGTATATGGGAGCTAAAGCAATTTGACGATCGACAATTTCAATTTGTGTTCTAGCTCGACGACACGGCCCTCCAGCTCTACAAGGATGGCGATTACGGCGCCTACCTGGATCTCGAGGCGTCGATCAGCGAGCAGCAGGAGGAATTCGAGGGATTCCAGACCAAGTGAGTAACTGTCTATATAGCGGGTAGTCTGCTCTTTTCCGTATCAAAGACTCAAGAGGCCTCTCATTCGCCGTTGAGAGTCCTGTCGATTGAATCGCAAAGGGAGAAACGACATTAGGAATAAATGAAAATATGTGAAAGTCGTGATTTGGAAAATTTCAAATATTTCCAAAGTGTCTGATAAACCGAGAGACGCCATTTTGAAACGTTACCTATTTTCGGGAGTTACTTTCTTCCGGGTACCCACGCGGTTATTAACCACGTGATTTTTTCTCATTTTCCGGGATATTTACGAGGTCACTCTCATACGCGTTATTACGCAGTGCCGCGCGTGCCTGGTTCATACGCGAACACCCCTAACATTCCACGGGACTGCCTATGGGTGAAACTAAATGCCACCCCTTCCATCCCCTAACAGTGTTAAATTTACGTTAGCACCCTAGCGTCACCCACCGACGCCATTCGTATTTCGATTTATGTATTTCAAGCAATTTTCATTTACGTCGAATAGCCATTTTACGGGGGGTACCAGAACCGTCCGCCACCCCTAACATTGAAAATTCATCCATAGCGTTACGGCCTTTGCATAGGTGCTCGTATATCTAATACGCATACGTTCGGTTTAAATATAACTACCCGTACGTGATGAAAAAAAAAAATATACCCATGTGTGTGACAACACCGACGGACCGATACGCGCAGCCCACCAAACATCCCTTATTCGTTAACGAAACGTGGGGGTTATTCGAGCGCGTATCGTTTTATTCTCTCGTATCTATACGGCTATACGGTTGTATGCGTGGGGTAGAGGCACGAGTTTTGAGGTTAGTTTGGGGGTTGAACAAATATTTGGCCCGAAGGGTAGATATATGCTTCAATATTTGAATCGCAGGTATTTCTGCGAACCGCAAAGTGACAACATACCCCACTGTACGCATACGCGTTGGTGGATGCCATATGCGTACCCAGCTACTTTCCACGTGGGGAACGTTCGTGACGTACTTTGCAAATTGTTCTCTTCGCCTTTTTTTATCTTCTATTATTTATACGAGTCAACACCACCGCGAATAACCCCTTTATGGTTTCTGTCATGAAAAAAAACTACCCTCCTTTTTACCCTGGCCGTTGAGCATGTAGCCACCATTTTATTTTCCATCCCCACTTCCCAACTCTTTACCCCGCTGCCCTGCGTCACTGTCGTTATTATTAGTACCCCGACACGACGTCAGGGCGCGCCGCGTGCCACTGACGATATTGCCTTCGCGTAGAACGATTTGTCGCCAGCTCGTGGTTTCACCTTGCTCTCACCCCTTCGAGGTTATCGCCACGATGTTCGGGATGTACCGAAAACTACCCTTGCGACGGAACTATCTTATTTCCATTCTCACATCCAGCCCCTTACTTATTGTTGTCTCAAAATCGACATCCGTCGCCGCCATGTTTGCTTCTAGAAGCTTTTCCCGACAATAATCATATGCAGGCATGTCACTGCGATAGACTCGTTGTCAAACGTACGTCTTACTTCAAAAGAACATTATTGTATTTTTGTATCCCCTTTTCTTAGACTTTTTGGTCACGTAAATAAATTTTTGAATTATACAAATAACACCCGGTACGCTTGCATCGTGTAACTCGTGTATCCACCAGTGCCCGGTAAGAGCCTTAGAGATTTCTTAGCGTCATTGCATAACCGGCTTATCTCTGCTATACCTATATACCAATATGCATATATGCATACACGCATATACACCGAAGGATGTGTCGTCAGGGTGGGCATAATGGAAGGCAATATCCGCGAAGTAACGGAGTGCCTAGAGACTCTCCCAAGGGTTCAACAACCAGGTACAATAAAATCTCTAAGCGTTCCTCCTCGTAGCCCAGAGTACAGAGAGTCCAGATAGATTTCGCGATGAGTAATCAGCTTCGCTCTTTGCGGTATCGGCGCTGCGATCTCATCGCGTTTGAATACGTAGAAAAATACACTTTTGCCACGTGATAATCCCACGACGACTCTACTGGTACCACTGGCTCCGAGTCAAAAGACCGGATATGGAAAATCCAAGTAACGGAAGACATTGTAACTCGTGAACGTATAACTGTACGGGAGAGGAAAGACGAAAAAGAAATAAAGCGAAAGAGAGTCTGGGATTCTATGAGCTGAACCATTGTTCCAGCTGTCGCTGTCGTCCGACAATGGATTTTATTCTTTATACTTGAAACGTCGCGTTTACGTCATTCCTTACGCGTTACTCGTTTGATTTTTGTCGGTCAAATGTATCGACGAAAATATTGTGCCATTTTTTTTTTACCTTTTTTCACGCACTGTACTATTGGTCTTTCTTGGGCATGCGTTGGGTTTGTATCACAGGACTGAACTGTCCTTATTACAATATCGACTGGGTCTTACGAAACGTGTACGATTCATTCATGGTACGTGTGTGCATGTTTGTCATTGTTCGGTTCTGTATATGCATACTATCCTCTTTACCGTATCGTTCAGGCCTTATCGAACGGTTTTTGTGTGGCCATTGTGCCATCGTAGGTACAGCACGAATGGGTGACAAGCGAAGATACACGATCCGTCGGATGGCTTCGTAAATCCTAAAAGGGCGGAACTACTCGAGACCGAAGTCTCGTCTTGCATTTCTTAAGCGTTTTCATGCGACAGCTCGATCGCCTCCAAGAAAGAAGAAGGAGGAGGGGGAGGGGGTGGGAGGAGGAGGAGGAGGAGAGCCCCGTTGACAATGAGAGGTTTCGAGATTTCTCGCGTTACAAAGACTTCGGGGTTACATCCGGTTCCGGTTTGGATGGATGAATCGAATGAATTTTTTTTTTTATTTTTTTATGCCAATTTCGAATTCACAGCTCACGCGTATGGATACGGGAACTAGTGGCGTCGGTTAATTTGAGTTTTCGAAAATTGATTGATAAAACAAATTTTGTGTAAACTTAATTTTTTAATCGACGTTTTTTTTTTATTTTGACTAATGATTATGGGATATATTAATTACAGCTGTGGTCTAATTAATCATCGTTTTGTAGGGGTTATTAATCGATGGTGTTTTAGGCGGTTAATGGACTCGGTGCTTTACACGGGGTGGATGCAGTTGTCAACTCTTGGGTATAGATCATTATGGATCATGGATCGTATATCGAGTCTCGCATTGAATTCACCTTATAATAGATAATGGCTCGTTTGCCACGTTTGGAGCTTATGCTACGGCCAATTGCGGGAACGTTAAAATCCCTGTCTTGGCAACAGCTGCGTCCACCCCGTGGTACCAGCCTCTCATAACTTAATGGATACTTCCAACCCGTTGAAAACGACCTGCCCGTTTATTTCAAGAACATTTAGCGCAATGAGATTTAGCGTATGGCTGGGTCAGTTTGAGAAACTTGAAAAAAAAAGTACATATTATAGAAATTGAAAATTAACAAATCCAGATCGGCAAGTACTTTTTATGCATATTGCACAATTTTTCTTTGACGTTGAAGTAAAGAAAAAAAAAAAGAAAAAAAAAATGTAGGAATACTCGTAATAATTAATTCAAAATTTCTTTATCCCTCGTTCAGTTGGTATTTTTCAAAAATATTCCGCCCTCATTTTTACCTGTCCATTTTTAACTTACTCGCGATACTTTTCTCCACGACGACTTGCGAATCCTACAAGATTACGTACCCGGTGTGTGGCAACGCTGCTCCCACTCACAGTGAGTCAGACGATTTATGTTTAATAATAGAGGATTATGCTTGAATGGATTTTCTAAATTTTTTTTCTTCATTTTAATATTCTTACTTCTCTTGTCGCCCATGAATTAAAAAATTTTGCAGCCCACTGTACACATGCATGCGCATATGCATACACGGTCGTTCATACCCACGTGGTAGGTCCGACCGTCCTGACGATTCTTTTATCATTGAAATTAATAGAAATCAAATGGACTGAATCATCTTCAGGCGATTGTGTAATTCTGAATAACCGTTTATATACGGATAACCATACACGTATGTACGCGGTCATTCGGGACTATCGAACCACCTGAATGTGGTTCTACTATGCGAATCAATAGGAACCAAACGGATAATAATTTTCAGGTGGTGCAATAGCACTGATTAACCCTATATACATAGACGTGTATGTAACTATGCAGTATGGATATAACTAGTTGGCGAATCTCTGTGCCTGAAATAAATGGCATAACTAGGTTTCGGTTTCTATTCGCGATTCGCCAGGATGTCTGCCGGGGAAGCTCATTGTTTTATAAATAAATACCCGCGTCTTCGTAATTCTGAGTCAGCCGTGTTTTGTCGACTGCCGTTCGCCACTGCAGAGGCAAACCCGTCGCGGTATAGGCGATGGGACCTGGCAACAGCTGACTAATTTCACGTTGACACGGATACGTGCGACAAAAAACTTTTGGACTTTGCTGCAATTTCGCATTTGCACATTTCCATATGTACCTACGTAAATTTGTGCATATTTCTCCATATTGCTCATTGCTTTTACTCGTAACTGTATATATATGTATATATATATATATATGCAGCGATGTATAGATATACACAGTAAGTACTTGGTTGCACAAGACACCAAAGATAAGAATCTTGTTATACTTTGTTCTTTCTTTCTTTTTTTTTTTCTTTCTTTCTCTTTGTTTTCTTCTTAATGCAGAAAATTGACGTATCTCGTTTATTTTCTACCGATTCACAAGCTACAGTCACCACGAAGCCGTCTCATCGTTAAAACGTTATTATCCGCGGCTGCCGGTTAACATTATCGTCCGTGCAAAATGGCTATTGCTCCTTCGGGCTGAAATTCGTCTGACAGCGCGTCGACGTGAAAAGTTTAAGGGTGCCTCGCGAAAACTTTTTAATTCGATGCTTCGTGCCGAAGTTTTACGTAACTCGAGTCAGCCGAGTTCTTCACGTTTTCGGAGTGCAAGTGCATTCTCTCTCTCTCTCTCTCTCTCTTTCTCCTTCTCTGCACACACCTGTATTTT